AAGAGCGACACCGCCAAGTTCGCAAAGTGGCACCGCGGCATGCTCGAGCGCGGTGTGTACCTCGCGCCGTCGCAGTACGAGGCGGGCTTCATGTCGCTCTCCCACTCCGAGGCCGACATCGAGCACACGATTGCGATGGCCAAGGAGGTGTTTGCTGAGCTGTGAGCTGCTGGCTGGGGGAGAGGGCGGCCAACTACGTCCCGCGCACTGGCGCGCGGCTCCGCCGGAGGGAGAGCGAGAGAGACCAGAGGAGAGATACGCGTTTGACGGTACACCCACTGGCGTTGCGCGAGACCGAGAGGCGGCCGTCGTGCGGCGCAACACGCCCGTGCTCTTGTATGTGTGTGTGAGGTGCTGGCCCCGTGGGCCTCTCTCGCGCCTCTCTGTACAAAGTCGCACGCACGCCGGTGGGACGAAAACTTAGACGCGACGGGATCACGGCGCAAGCAGCGGGCACGAGAGTGAACACATTAACCCATGTGCCATGAACTCCAAGACCTGTGTCCTGTCATGTGTCAAAGCTCAAAGGCTCACTCACAAAGACACAAACCGATAACCGTCAAAAAGACGACACACAAAGTGGAGGCCCGAGGGTGGCCCGGTGCCGGTGCGCCGGGCGCGGGGACGCGGGGTCTTACTGTTACTCAGCTCTCAGGACAGGATGTTAGGGGTGGCCGGTAGCGATGCCGGCGTTTTAACCGCCGGGGCGGGGTTTTCTCCGAAATTCTCCCCCGCCCGGTTGTGACTTCTCTTGTGTGTAAAAGCTAAAAGCTTGAACGGTTCTCTGTCCTTCACAGACTTCTGACTTCTTTGTAGAAAGAAAAAGTGTGTCACGACGGCCGACTCGCGTCTACATGTGTGTCTGGTGTGAGTCACGGAGGTAGGTAGAAGCGCACAAGAGGAGAGGTGAGATACCGGCCGGGCCAGCGCAAGAGACACACCTCGCATCAATACAAGACTCTCAGTTCTGCGCCGCCCCCACCGCAAGCGGATGTCGGCAGAGGCCAGGGAAGGTCGAGCAGGAAGGTGGAGGGGGGGGGTGAGGGGGGGGGCCGCCCTCACTCGCCGCCCGAAGAGATGGACCAGCGGATGTACCTGCGCGCGGCGGGCCGGCAGTGTCGAGGCGGGGAAGGATCGAGGGAAAGGAGAGGGAGGGTGGTGTGGTGGGAGAGGGGTGGTGGGTGCGGGGCTGCGCGCACCACTCCAGGATGTCGAAGGGGAGCATCACCAAGCTGAGCGGGAAGGGGAGGCCGAAGCCCCACGACCACTGGATGTAGAAGCCGAGGGCGGCGACCGAGTAGCCAAAGGCCTTGGTGGGGGGGGGGGGGGGGGGCTCACGGGCGGGGGGTTGTCTGAAGGGTGTCTCGCGCCAAAGGCTCGTGGTCGGTCGGGCGACGGGCAAAAGGAAAGGGGGGGGGGGAGGGGGCCATGGGGGGTCTGGGCCTGGTCAAGGTTGACGCGGGGGTGGCCCACCCGTCAATTTCCACCCCCCCGTAAATTTCGGCCAGCCCCCGGGGGGGTCTCGCTCCTCGTCGATGTACAAGTCCCCCGATTCCAGCTAAAAAGGGCCAAGGCTTTTGTGGCCACTCCCCCAAAGGTGGGCCATCTGGCCGCGTGAAAACCTGAG